TTTAATACTATAGACACAGCCAGTTTTACTCACTGAAAGATTTATTCGTCATAAAATTATTACTTCATAATTGTATTCGAGTCTTACACACATGCTATACAGATGTAGAGTCGTGCATTAATTTGAGAGATAGCTATTATGGGAGTGGCTTGATGGAACTGCAGGAGATGCAGATAACATGATCTTGACCCTTAAGAAACTTTAAATAATGCTGTCACGTAACAAATCTGTTCAAATATAAAATTAAATGAATTGCTAATTGCTACATTGAAATAAAAATGTAAAGCCTGTACAAAAAATTAGAAATCGTGAATATAAATAATTGGGAATCGTGTAAAAAATAAAAAATAAAATGAAAACACATTTCATTTATCTATTATAACATTTATGTAGTTTTGTTCGCTTGGCTGTTCCCTTATAAAAGTCCAGAAATTTGTCAAGTTTTTCGTCAGGTGTCTTTTTTAATTATATGATGTAATGCGTTGCTGTCTTGCCGCCAGCCAATCGCTGCATTGCTGATCGTGGTTTAGCGCGATGATATCATCTTGGATGTGACATTTCATCTCGGATGTAATAAGCGACGTATGAAGAACGGGCCCCTGATGTCTAAACAAACAGCATCATCTAGTGGTCAATCAACAGCAGCCTACTGGCTTCGAAAGGAAGCTGGAACCAAGCAGTGTTTATAGTAAAATAAAACATCTCACAATGAATTTCATGTCAAAACATGCAGTAACATCAAACAAGTGCACTCAAGCACTATACACAGTGCAGTTACAAAAGACAGACATATGTAATGTAAATATATGAATTAATTAGCACTTAAAACAATAGGATCAATAAGGGTCAAACAATCTGCAATATCTTTTTATACAGTAGCTACAGGTGCATATGGCATGAGCTGGTTTGGTTTTATTCTTATGGTCTGTTCCTCCAGAGGGTGCTCATACTGTACAGGATATAGCCTTACAAACCTAAACCTGACTGGTTTAGATAGAAATTATCTGTCTGCCTTCATCACTTTAAGCTTTATCTAATATTGTAGGAAATGGAGATGTCGAAGAACCTAATTTTAACTTTTGCCAAGAAAGGTTGATGCCTTTTATTACAGAAAGATGACAGGAAAGAGTAGGAGGGAGGAGGAGTGTGTGGAATTGTGAAATGTCGCTGTTTGGCCTTGTTTTTACTGCTCCTCACAGGAGCAGTAAAAACCTTATGTGCCATAAGTATGTGTGCTACTGCTGTGGCTCTGGTATTACCCTCAGAGCTTTGTTAGGTCAAAGCAGTCTGTCCAGAATATTTTAGGTATTATAGCATACCAATAACCACTCTTTTTTTTAAATTCTAAAAAATACAATAACTACTCTTGAAGTCTGCCCCCAAATCCACAGTAATGTCACAATCCCACAGCTCTACCACAACATGAATCAAGACAACCAGACAAAAGTTTGCTGAAGTTTAGATCAAGTCCACACTGAAGGTCTCGAGCTTTCAGACTGCTTTGTCACAGCTTTGGTTTTACTTGCTCCAAAATAAACTAGGACACGTACATGTGAAAGTGTGTTGGCAGCCAAAAAGAATACTACATCATCCTTCTGACTCTTCACGTTTTTCAAGACCTTACTCTTTCTCACTAACATACAGTATACAGCCTACAATAAATGTGTAATAGGGAAACTTTAAAAGCTAAATTATCAGGTTCAGTTATGTGCACTTTCTGACCAGCATATTGGTTTTTTCTAATGTTAGTAATGCTAGAATATTTGTCAATGTTGCGTAAATGAGCCTTGCCACCTCCTGAACTAAAATGTAGACTAGTCATTCTTGTCATTGACAAACCATTTGCAACATCATCTTGCTTAGCAATACTATATTAGGCTGCTGTTGTGACTGTAATGTTCACTTATTTAGAATCTTATTTAAAGTCTTGTATATACATTTTCATACTCATTATTTTGTCTTGTTTTCTAGTAATAATTTCTAAACAAGTTCACTTGACAAGCAAAATTACATATGATATTAAAAGAGTTGATTCCAGAGAATATAAGTTGAATTGACTTTTTAAAATTGGAATAAATCAAGGTGATGTTAAAACATTACAAAATATTTTTGTCAAGTCTTAACATCATGCATAATTTTGCTAAGTATATTTTATCTTGTTTAAGGATATTGTAACTGTAAACTTTTTTTTTTTTAGCAGTGTAAGAGTTAAGCAAACTTGTGGTGGAAGAACAGCTCACAAACAAACTGAGAACGACAAATATACTAGCGTAAACAATAATGTTAGCAAAGCTAGAATGTTTGTGAATGTTCAGCCTTGCCACCTCCTGAAATAAAAATCAGGCACTTTTTGTGACTGATTACATGCACACAGTCTCACAGCCCATGTCAAAAACAAGTGCAAATATGTCAAAATTACTCTATAAACATAACCTTTAAGATTCTCAATGTAAAAAATATTTGTCTTTACTTTTCTAACTAGTAAACAACAAACTGCCCAAGATACACAAAGAAACTCTTTGCCTTTAAACGACCTCAGAACAGAGTAGAGAGGAACTAGTGTGTGAGTCAGTGTGTGGACACGTGTTCAGAAGTGACCTATTTCCAGAAAATGGTTTCCTGTGAACTTGAACTTGATATGAATCATCCACTCACAGGATTATGTATCCTGCCAAATAATACAATTTATTAACACAAAGTGTTTGACATTTATCATCTTTTGAGGGTTGAACCAAATTGTTTTTCTTTTTAAATTTTTACTTAATTTTTCTGACTTAATTGTGTGTGAAATAGTGTCTACAGTGACCATGTGAATCACGCACCTTAACATTATTGTATTTTTTTCTGCAACCACTGCTAATATGTTTGGAGAAACAAAATCAAGTGTGTTATAATTTGTTTGTGCTGTCCGTGTGGATGAGATGTGTTTGTTTGCACAGATAAGTGTCACATTCCACCACTGTGCCAATCACACCTACCTGTCTTCAGGACAGCGATGGAGTCATCGCAGGCTTTGCAAGATGTTTTGGATTGTGCCTTGATGAAATAACACTGCAGAACATCTGAGATCACCTTAAAAGGAAAGTAGGTTACAACGTTTGTTGAGAACATGTTATCCAGCAACATTCTTCAAAATATATTTTGAGAAACTATAAACTGTGAATTATTGGAAACAGAGGAAGTTCTGGATTGCAGCAAGCTATTTCATAACATCTGTCTGTGAGGATTTAGGATAGTGACGAGAGAGAAAACAGTTCCAGGAAGTGAAGTATAAACTCATCCTCAACCAGTCCCACCTCAAAGAGAACTAAGAAAAAATTTGTTTCTTTTTAAATGGCTAACCATGCTAACAAGCACTAGCTCTAAATGCATCGTTTTAATGCTGAAAACTTATGTCTTAGCAGCCCTTCACACAGAATGTGTTTTTGCACTGAAAGACGTGAGGTGAGGAGTGGAATGGGGGAAAAATGCAAAGTCTCCAGACGCCTTTTTTTTTTTTTAAGAGCACATTGGTCAAAGACATCCATCTAATGCAGGGGTGTCAAACTCACTTCCTGGAGGGCCACAGCCCTGCAGAGTTTAGATTCAACCCTAATTAAACGCAACTGATCCAGCTATTTAATTAAGTCCTTCAGGCTTATTTGAAAACTACATGTGTGTTGGAGCAGCTTTGGAACAAAACTCTGCAGGGCTGCGGCCCTCCAGCAACTGGAGTTTGACACCCCTGGTCTAATGCATGTTTACATTAAAAATAATAATTATAATTAAAAAAAATGGAAAAGTAGCACAGTGTAATGCAAAAATTTCTATGTTGATGGACCAGCTTTGCCATTGAGAGGACTGGGGAAAAAATGTACCAATTAACCTGAATTTACTATTAAGGTTACAATTAACTATTGCTTTGTCTGTTACCAAACCGAAAATAGTTCCAAACAAAACCACCATTGCCACACAAGCAACACACAGTGGTGTTTTGTACCTGGATGATTCAGTGTTCTTGAACAAATCAGTTGAGTAAATGATGCAAAGAACCACCAAGACCTGTTTCGTTCTTGAATGAATCAGTGTTTTTGAATGAATTAGTTGAGTGAATGATTCAAGTGACTCACTCACAAAGATTTTCACTTGTCATCATCTACTGGCATAACAATCTATAAAGCCAATCCTTATGAGACTGATGTTGCTCTAGAATATGAATAAATAAATAAATAAATATAAACATAAAAATATTAAATTTAGCTCTTTTTATTTATTCCTCTACATGTAGGATGGTACAGGACTGAACTAATGTCGCAAAGTCTGGATTTCTTCTGCCTGTTGCTGCTCCAGAATACACCGTGTGATACAAATAGTAAGTAAATTGATTGTGATGTGATCCTAAACATTTATTTGATTACAATCACAAAAGTCCTTGTAAATTTTAAAACAGTGTCAGACACTTTAAGTCAGCTTTGAAAAATAATAGCTATTCCGGAGTCATTTATCAAAATACATATTCATTGTACAAATATTTTGCCTTCATTAAAACTAATAAACAATATCAGCAATTGTCATTACAAAAGCTGTGTGCAAAGAACACTGTGACTGGAGAATTTCCTGAAAGCAACAGTATCTAGGCCTGTCGCAATAATCAATATATCGACTTATCGCGCAATATTTACAGAGAAAAGAAGGTCAGGAAAAATCTCCATACAAGTTCTTTGTGCATTTTTCTTTTTTTGTACTTGTTACTTTTGCACTTTTTGTTAGAAAATGTTTATTTACTATTTATTCAGGTTTTTTAAGGTAGCTTATATTTTGATACTTAATTTCCATGATCTAAAAGTTTGTTGTCATTTGGAAGTGTGTAGGCCTTCTTGCATTATTGTGCTGTTACATTATGATTATATATTCAGAGGCATAAAATGTTCTTTAATATGACAATAATATCGCTTATCGCAATTATTTCTGGGGCAATATATCGCACAACAAAAAGTTGTTATCATGACAGGCCTAACAGTATCATATGAAATTAAAATATTACACTTTATGTGCAAAAACATTCAGTAGCATATGTATAAAATGTATCAACACATTGCCTATTTTTTATATTTCTAAATGATTACTGATCTCTAAAGTCAGTCCATGTCAGTCTTGAAAGAAAGGCACTGTAATACTGTGGCGTTTTACTGTAAAATAGCATGACATTAATAACATTCAATTTAAGAGACAATAAAAAAAATAAAAAAATGACTGTTCAGAAGTACACAATTGTTTTTTTCCCCTCCATTTGTCCTTTGAAACCCAGATGTAATGACATGTTAATTGTGCTCCTCTATCTTCACATTTTCATCCATCTGTAGAAACTCAAGCACACTTCTACCAATCTGCTGTTTGTCCTTCATATCACTCCTCCGGGTTTCCATCTCTGATATTGTCACTGCATGAGGATATTAGGCTCAATGTTAAATAGTAGATCATCATTACCACGCCGAACTTCCAGAAGGAGGGGCATGTCTTCCTGAATCGCCTCCTGTAATTCTCCAGTGTTGACCAAAGGATGGCTGTTTAGCTTCACTATGATATCACCTGTTTCGAGCCCACCTCTGTGAGAATAATGATTTGTTTTGGATTAATCAGTTCATAATGTTGTCGAAACGTACTGTACACTGTAAAAAAAAGTCTGTAGTTTTTACAAAATTATTTTGGCAGCTGTGGTTGCCAGAATAATTTTGTAAAAAAATACAGAAAAACTGTAAACACATTTACGGCCAAAAACTGTAAATTTTACAGTATAAAACTGTAATTTACAAACAAGAAAATTTGAATGTAAACCAGTAAATTCAACAATGCACACTGCTATTAAAATCTGTTTTGTACCTTTGTACCTGTTTTGTACTAATGCAGGTGGTAAAAGAGAAAGCCACATAAAGAATCAAAGCTCATCACAAGTAGCTTCACCACAAGCAGAAGTATATACTAATATATAGAAGGTCATTCATGCAAACACAAAACACCATCATGGTAACACACATGATACTTAAATAATGCATTAAACTTTCATTAAACAACAGAAGATGTAACATAAAGCCCAAATATACATAACTAATAACAAAAACTATAAAAAAAACATGATTATTTAAACAAAATACTTTCAAATGTGGAGTGTCATGCAGGGAATTCTGGGAATATCAGTTTACAGTTTTTGACTGTAAATTATACATTGATCTGTTATTTTTACTTCTAAAAACTGTAAAATTAACAGCATTTTACTGTAAAATTACATGAAATGTCGGGTTAGATATTTTACAGTTTTCCTCTGTATATAGTACGGGAACTTACTGTTAACCTATTAACAGTTTTTTTCCGTAGCATTTTTACAAAATTTTACAGTTAAAATTACACTTATTTTTTACAGTGTATGTAACAGCATGATTAAAAATTTAAGCTTAAAAGGCATTTTGAAAAGAATCTTTATTTATTTTTTGGATGAGACATACTTCTGAGCTGGGGAGTCTGGGACAACTTCATGGACAAGAATTCCACTACCGATATCTGGAAAGTCTGGATTATACCATTTTAACCCCTGGACTAGGCTGAGGAAAAGAAAGCAGACACATATGACTCCTCTAAGAAAGGTTACTGATTGAACCTAGATACTTAAGCAATGGAATCAGGATATGTTGGCTTTATTTTGTAAATTTGACACTATTAAATGAGCAAAGCATTGCTGTAGATTGACATGGCATACTTCTCTGTTAAAGTGACCATTTTGATTCCAATAAACCTTTTCTTGAGGACTTTTAGATCTGGAAGAGAAATGATTATTTTTAGATATTTGTACAATTTCATGGTGCATTCAAGTTATATCAGAAAGATTGTATTTACAAGTTGAACGCACATAAATGCTACCACACTATAGTCAGTTTGACTGAGAAACTCAGGATGGTTTTGAAGCCTCGAGATTCCAGGTTGGAGGCATGTCAGTTAGAAAACATGGTGATGTTAAATTTGTTGAAATTAATGAAATGATCACTTTAAAGTATATGATATGATAAAATATGATATTACGGTACAATTACAATAAAATAAATAAATAACGGTTCAGTTTACAGAACCTTACAGTTTCTGTTTCTTGCTCCAACCAAAGTGATTTTAATGCATCTGATTTCGTAATTATGACTTCCCAACTCATAAATACAAACTTCCCAGGAGGACTTGAACACACCATTAGATAACTGTAGTACCCTGGACTGAGTGTTATTCACAAACAGTAGCTTAGCATGAACACTTGCATTGAACAAATACCTGTCTGTTTTATTCGTTAAACACTGAAGCAAAGAGTTATATTGACTTGCAGTTAGCTAACAGCAGGTTACTGGGACATATTCATGCAAAGCAGTTTCACATTATGTTCAATAAATATTTAACCAACGAATTCAGCCTTCTGGCCAAAACATTCCGAATGTATCCTCTTTAGTTCCTCTTATGGTCATTTAATGCCATGACAGAGCAGTTAAATGTTGATTCTGTTGTAGCTTGCATTTTTTATGTCATCAGGCTGGCAAGATGACTAGCCGCTAGCTAGCAAAGTGAAATTTGCTAGCAATCACCTCACCTGAGGCAGTCTTCATAGCTTGAGACTGTGTGAAGTTTGTCCTGACTACCCTTTGTTTGACTGAAATCAAAGTAAAGGACACCAAGGATGTAATAGATGGGGCTGTTTCACACATTTGTGTTTTGTAGCCATTTTGTTTTAACTGGCAGACCATCATTTAAGAGGTGGCACTCACAAAAATGTAATCTCAGGTTAATATGATTGAATGAAAATGAACATCCATTGACAGTTCAGATTTCTGCATGCTAATATTTGTGTTGATGCATTAATTTTGGAAATACTAACAAAAAAAATGAAACTTTTGCGATTAGTGCGTTACTTCTGTGCTTGATGCTTACCTTTCTGCTCTTTATCATTAGATTCCTCAAGGAATTTACTGATTCGGTCTGACGGAATTGCAAAAGAGATCCCTGCAGTGACTTTTAGTGTGTTTATTCCGATCACCTCACCATCCTAACATGACAGAAATATTATGTAAAAAGCTAGTACTATTAAATGTATATAACCATTGTCTAACTAGATGTAAATCTTCATTATTACTCACCAGATTAACAAGTGGACCTCCTGAGTTTCCATACTTCCCATTGTTGATGAATAAAAAGGGGAAGAGATAATCAAATTCAGCCAAAACTGTTTTTTTAAACAATCAGTGCAGCCTGCAAACAGCATTCTTGTCTTACATTGATGATAGCGTCAGTCTGGATGTAATCCATGTCAGAGTCATGGATGCCGAGCTCTTTTCCATCTCTCTGTGTTGTGCTGACGATGCCTGTTGTGACTGTGTTCTGAAGCGCAAATGGACTGCCAATGGCAACCACAAACTCACCAGGCCTCAGGTCAGCAGACTGACCCAGTGATAACACTGGTAATTTTTTCTGCAGGTGAAATAACACAAACAATTCATGCAAATAAAATCAACTGAAATATGATTCAGTCAATCTGTGCACCACTGATGGAATCTTTTTCTTCATTAACGCTTCCTACAGGTTGCAGTTTACGCTAATAGGTGGCAACAAGTCTTTCTGAGTCTTTAAACCATTTGTTCAAAATAATCATTAAAAAACACTGAACAAAACAAGTAACTGGCTATATTTGGAATAACGTTAATATATTTATGGCATATCTGTAGATTTTTATATGGCATAAATAGTAGAGTAGTATGGTAGTGTGCTTTTCCCAATTAAGCCCCTTCTTCTTCTTGTGGTTTAAAATTGCTTGTATGTGTAAATTGGCAAATTAATATGTGAATCACGTGCGTGCCGAATGGTAGGGTCTCTCTCACCCGTACGTATTACGGATCAACTGCGATCCGTTTAACTCCTAATATGTGACAGATCAGAGCAATCTTTCATTTACTTATTTAACATGAAATTGTCAAATTGCTACTCCATATCAATCGCACACAAAGAAAATACAGAATAATTAGAACAATCATTAACATAAATAAATAACAGAGTGTCATATCTATACACATTTTTCCCAGAACGTTCTTGCGACCCGGTAGCAATTCTTCCACGGCCCGGTAGTGGGTCGCGACCCGGTGGTTGGGGACCTCTGCTCTATATAGTATGAATATGTGTAATACGAATGTAATCTGGATGTACTACATTCGCCATGTTGTCATTGTTACATGACCTACCAGCGTCAGTTGTGTAGCTTCACTGCCATTCACAAATTCTCTCCTGTGTCCATCATATGCACATTTCAGAATCACACCAGAAGTAGTAGGTCATCCGGGTACTTTTTGCATACTCTATTATGAGTACTGTGAAATCAGACATACTTCCTTTGACACATACTGTTTTTCGCCTGCTATATAGTATGGAAGTGTGCAATTTTGAATGCAGCCCTTGTTTTTTAGATTCCTGGTTTTCTTGTGTTTTTGTTTCATTCTAATAAACTGCTTGCATTGGATCCTACACCTCTCTGCCACTGGGTTCACCATATGTGACAAGCACTACCTGAACAAACTGGACTGATTTCATTACTTGCAAAAACACATGGGTGGTCTGTCCAAAAGATCAGAATTGGGTGCAGTGTGGAAAAAGTCTAAGGCTGCAGAGCAAAAGATGGGGAAATGACATGAGCTGCTATAAACAGAAACAAAATATTTGCAAGCAATCCAGACTCTCTGACGTGGGGACATTCCTCAACTTTTGTTTCGATAGCAGTCCCTACTCTGAATATTTTTTCTTTGATACTCTAAATCAAAAATGGGCTATGGAAATATGCACTAGACCAAATGTGCATCTCCATAATCAGATCCATATGAATCAGGAAACAAAACAGCTCTTACAACACAACACCTGTTGAATTCCCACACACAAATGTAGGTCAACATGTGCAGCAGGCTACAATTAACAAGTCCAAGTGTGTCTAGACGAGGCGGATTGTGTGATATAAACCATCTGCCTCTGGAGTCATAAACATGGGAGTTAAGAGTCAAAGGTGTAGCCAGTTTTGGATGATGTGTGCTGAGGTTTTATACTCTGGAAGTTTTTGAAAGATAAACTCTGGACTATTGACTAATAGGCTTTGTGTCAGAAAACACTGTAAAGAAAAATATGGTGACAGCAAGAAAGGTTGAAAATTAAAAATTTTCAGACTCAAGGCCTTGTTCCACATTTACAGTACAATAAAAAAATTTTTTTTTAAAGAGACCAAGGAAACAGTTTAAATTGTCCTGTTATGTTTAACAGTCTTAAACAGATAAAGTCATTAATGCTTGTGAAATGATTCTCACCTTTGGGTTAATTTTGATAGTTGCGATGTCAGATTTCTTGTCTATGTCTCTGATGGAGGCCTCGTATGTCTGGCCATCGTGTAGCTGCACTCGTAGATTTTGACGGCCCGTTACTGGTGCACTGCTAGCAACCACATGAGCATTGGTCACGATCAGACCGGACTGTGTCATTATGAATCCAGAACCGCTTGACAAAGGTACATGACGGCCAAACAGTGGATGGCTGGACACAAACATTGAAAACAGTGGTTTTTGCATGACTATAGGTGAACATTTCTTTTCTACTTGAAAAAAAAATGATGCCAAAGCAACTGTTGGCCATCAGTGAGGTGAAATGAGTAGATTGCTACATTATTAGATTATTTAAAAACACCTTTTCTTGTGAGTCTTCAATCAGGTGCCAAAATGACATATATATTTGACTCTAAAAATAGTTATCGCCAATATAAACATTGCCAAATCAATATCACGAAGACCAGAATTGTATTTACTTGAGGAAGAGCTCGACATGTACCACAGCCGGGGCAATTTTCTCCACCACATCAGCGATAAAGTTAAACTTGTATCTTGGGCTGTTCAGATGTGCAGGACCTATACTAGCAGGAAGAACCATTCACGTCAATATTACATGATATGCCAGATATGAAGACTACTGGGACGTATTGGCAATACTTTACTGTTTTTGGTAAAAAGCCTATACATGTGTAAATGTGCACTAAATTCATATTTCAGCAAATCTGTCTAAATTGTTTTTAATCTTTTAGAAAGAAATCATTCTAATATGCTGAGTTGCTGCTCAATATTATTATTTTGAAAACAACTGTTGATACAGTAGATAATTTAGGTTAAAAGAAAGAAAGAAAGAAAGAAAGAATTTTATTCAGCAATGGTGCATTCAATTAAAATGTGACTAAAGATTTATTAAGGTTTCAACATTGACAATAAGAACCATTATTAGTAATTAGTAAGCAGCAAATTAGCGTATTAGAATGATTTTTGAAGGATCATGTGACACTAAAGACTGGCATGGGCGCCGCTATGGTTTCTGGGCCCCCTGAACACCTGAAGACAGGTGTAATGATGCTGAAAATTCAGTTTTGCCATCACAGGAATTAATTACATTTTAAAATATTTTCAAATTGAAAACAATTCTTTTAAGTTATAATAAGTTATATTTCACAATATTACTGTATTCACAATATCCACAATAACACTTTTTACTGTATTTTTGGTCAAATAAATGCAATCTTAATTTAATTATTCCAAACGTTTGACCAGTAGTGTACCTATCAGAGGCCTCCACAGTACTGCTCAGAAATAATTGTTCTATTAGGTCCGTGTTACTCCCATAGAGCATATAACAAAGAACAGATAATCCATTGTAATAATTTTGATCTCTGCTCATCTGTGGCTAGGTGTGTCACATTTATTACTTCCCTCACATTCTGTGGGCTGGATGCAGATGGCATTCTGCCTAGATTGTTTCCTCTTTCCCAAAGCTTTGGGTAGAATCTATAAACAGTGTTGCATATTTTGTTTTGCACTTCAGTACAAAAGGATTAAAAGCTGCATTTAGATGGTGTCTATGTTCTCTGACTCTGAGTGAAACTACAGTTGGCACGGGAATAGTAAGAGGAACTAAGAGTCCACATCTCACTAAACATCCAAAGTCACACTGATGTTTGCCTTGTGCAAATCTTAGCACTTTAAGCAGGGTTAAAGTAATTGTCTCCTGCTGAAAGAACAATGTTGTTATTATGTATAGAAAGTTCAATATATAATGATAAAAAGCAATTGGAGACAGTGTGAAATTCCATGAAGTCTCAATCAGACAAAATCAGACATCACACAGGAAGTCAAAACTAGTGGATATATAACAACTGTCCTACAGCTGACTGACTCAGAACTATTGTGACTGCATGCTTCATTCTGACTGGCTACTTCTTTTAATTATTAGTCCAGATCCACCTTGCAGTAAACTCTGATAGCACCTAATGAAATGTAATATACAGCATATTTATTCCATTTATGTTACCTATAAGGTGATATATAATTTTCACATACATACATTCTCTGGGCAGATGAAGACATAAGTTTATAACATATATAAAATCCCCATAGTAAAATGTGTGTGTAGCCTATACATAATGATTTGATTAGCAACCATATATGTCAACAACAAATATTTTGTTTATATATACAACCTTATTAAAATAACATACATACCAAAAAAATCTGTATGTTTATATGTTTTTATAATCAATGTTTTAAATACATGTCTAACTTTTATATTTACTTTTATAATATCTACTCGTATTAACGGGTTTTAGGATAGATATACACACGACATACATAACTAAAAAAGTATCACACACATAAAATGAGTAGTTGAAGTGATCAGTGACTGACCTGAGCTTGATGGTGCACATGGACCCTTCTGCGTTTGAGTTATTACGGGGAGCCCTCGCTGTTGCGCTTTACGCGCGGCTGCCCTCATCTTGCACACATTCCCGTAGGTCTTTCCGTCGCTGCCACACACTCTGTGAGTTGTCTTACACTGGCAAACCCCTTTGGAAAGTCGCTTACCGGCTGGAAATTTACATTCTAGCCCGTCGCCACACGGAGCATCATCCTTCCGACCGCACGGCGCGCCCTCGCCCAGGCTGCACACAAGACAGCAGTTGCAGTGGTCGGGCACATACCCGCTCGGGCAGCTCGGACTCGAACATTTACTCACATCACACTTGGATGGACATTTCGTCTTCGGCTCGGCCACGGCGAGGTCGTGCGCAAAGAGCACTGCTGCTGCCAACAGAATTGCCTGCATTCCGTCTGTTTCCGAGTTGAGAAATACAGTTCAAGTGTCTAGTTTGTTCATTGAGCTACGACTTCAATTCTCTGTGAGATTTTTCCATAGAGAGCAGCACGCTGATGTAGGCTAATGACGTGTGTGCGTTTGATATGAAAATCCCTACGGTTAAAGTTTAAGAGTGTCGAATGCTCTTCCTTGTGCTATGTCATATTAAAATACTGTCTCCCTGATTCTCGCACTCAAAAAGCACTCGTTCCCTCCACTCCACTGCTTTTGATGGCTTAATTACACTCACACACAGTGCGAGGTATGAGAGAAGAGCAGATTGCAGAACACCAATCAACAGTCATTGCTCCACTGTCCAGTACAGATCGAGCACGTCAGATCAGAACATTATAAGCAGAACTAAAATTAGAGTGGATGTGTAACAGCCAATAGTATCCTATGCGACGATGTTGGTTGGGGTGTCTGCACAATATAGGATAATAATACTCTTAATCTCAGTTAACGCTGCTGCTGTTAATGTCCTTTAAAGCAATATTCGTATGTAAATACGTTTGTTTTGGCGTGATTGTAAAGTGATATCTATAGCCTACTGCAGGGGTTGGACTATAACACTCATTATTATACAGGTGCATCTCAATAAATTAGAATGTGTTAAATGTGAGCCAAAATCATCACAATTAAAAGAACCAAAGACTTAAACTACTTCAGTCTGTGTGCATTGAATTTATTTAATACACGAGTTTCACAATTTGAGTTGAATTACTGAAATAAATGAACTTTTCCACGACATTCTAATTTATTGAGATGCACCTGTAGGAGTTAATATAATTTGTGATTACCTTATTTTTATATTTCGCCTTTGTTGTCTCTACTCTCTAGCTTGTGTCAGTGTAGTAGGCCTATAAGTTGTGTTCAGCTGTGTAGTGCTTGGTGAAATGGGTTTATTGTTAGACTTCCAAAAAGGGCAAATCCGAAAAGGGCAAAATTAGTGTTCGAGGGTCCCTATTATTCACTTTTGTTTCTCGCCCACTGTTCTTTTCCTCGATTGAATTTTGCCATGCTTTGTCTACACTACACAGTCATAATTATAAAAACTGTTGCTCTTAAAGGTATAGATCGCCCAAAAAATTAAAAATGATTTACTCACCGTCAAGCCAGGTGTATTTGACTTTCTTTTTTCAGACAAATACAATCAGACTTACATTTTAAAATGTCCTGGCTCTCCCAAGCTTTATAATGGCGGTGAATTGTGGTTGAGATTTTGAAGCAATATAAAGTGCATCCATCCATCATAAAAAGTACTCCACACGGCTCCGGGGGTTAATGAAGGCCTTCTGAAGTGATGCGATGCGTTTGTGTAAGAAAAATATCCATATTTAAAACGCATGTTCACGAGAGAGTGGTGTTCCAGTGGATGATGTAGGAAATAGCCTATAGCGTAAGCTACAGTGAGAATATGCTAGTTTCGCGAGAACCAAGTTTTGTTTACAGCAAAGGAAAACCAGTCTCCTCTTGGCTTATATCGAAATCCTCCGACATTTTTCTTTACAAATCCTCGTTTTGTACTTCTAATTCGTGATCGTGTTTCCGGGTTTGTCACTTCTCACCGGAGATTACGCTACGCCTACCTCCTACGTCATCCGCTGGAACACCACTCTCTCGTGAACGCCAGTATGACAGTTAGGGGAAGCTAGAGATTATGGTTTATACAATTTAAAATATGGATGTTTTTCTTACACAAACGCATCGATTCACTTCAGAAGGTCTTTATTAACCCCCGGAGCCATGTGGAGTACTATTTATGATAAATGGATGCACTTTGTTTTGCTTCAAAATCTTGACCACCATTCACTGCCATTATAAATCTTGGAAGAGCCAGGACATTTTCAAATATAACTCAGACTGTATTCATCTGAAAGAAGAAAGTCATATACATCTAGGATGGCTTGAGGGTGAGTAAATCATAGGGTAATTTAAATTTTTGGGTGAACTATCCCTTTAAGAGTAATTATGTTTATGATTATGACTGTGTAGTCAAAGCATGGCAAAATTTCATCAGTGAAGAAGAACAGTGGTCGAGAACCTAAAGTGAATGAAAGGGCCCCTTAAACACTACTAAGGATTGTGTAATCACAGACGCCAGTGCCAAAATACAGCAAAGATGGTATTATAATTATAAAACCTGGATAGTTGGAGCACCAAGATGAACTTCAACATCTCCCCTGGCCAGACAAATCATCAGACCTAAATATTTTCAAAACCTGGTAAATATTTTCATTACCTGTGTGAAAATGTTATGAAATGTTTTGCATGTTTTTTTGTTTTTTTTTCCAAATGTAACAATACACGCTATTATATGTTATATATTATAGACTATTGTAGTGTAACCTATCTGTTGTAATATTGTTACTGATCTACTCAATCAACCATTTATAATATCAAACAAGGCAGCAAAAATCAAGGGTAAAATAGCCTACAAAGGGACACAAAAAGGAGAAAATACCCCACCCAGAGGCGAACATTAGCACTACAAATGACTTGGTACTGACAACACTAGATTTCAATTACATTTGTTTTTCAACTGCTTACACACAAAATCTTTACTTGTCACACAATTTCTGAAACCTGACACTCAAACACCAGACCCACACACCAAATCTGCAAAACCCATACACTAATTCTCGGCCTTTGACTCAGTTTTCAATTTCATAAAACACTTTTTGCAAAACACAACACACAATTCTCTACATAACACACAAAAATCTCCTTTCCTTTTTCAAACACAACCAATCAAAATGCCACACTAATTCATCAGTGCCTCACACTAACTCCTTCACATGTGCAATCATGGCTTTAGAATGGGCCTATAAATACACATCTACACAACTACACATGTATTCACAACCACAAATGCTTACAGTAAAAAAAAAGTTTGGTTTCAATCTTGCTTTTGTGTTTACCATGAATTTTTCAACATCTCTCTGCCAATTACTTTCAATCTTGAACAGAAATGTAGGAGCTCATGAAAGAAGAGCTTTAGGTTTTGAACTGTGTGTATATGTGACCATGGACCACAAAACCAGTCATAAGGGTCAATTTTTCGAAATTGAGATTTATACATCATCTGAACGCTGAATAAATAAGCTTTTTATTGATGTATGGTTTGTTAGGATAGGACAATATTTGGCCGAGATACAACTATTTGAAAATCTGAAATCTGGAAAAAAACCAAAATATTGAGAAAATCGCCTTCAAAGTTATCCAAATGAAGTTCTTATCAATGCATATTACTAATCAAAAATTAAGTTTTAATATATTCACAGCAGGAAATTTACAAAATATCTTCATGGAACATGATCTTTACTTAATATCCTAATGATTTTTGGATAATCAATAATTTTGACCCATACAATGTATTTTTGGCTTTTGCTAAAAATATACCCCAGCGACTTAAGACTGGTTTTGTGGTCCATGGTCACATATGATATATCCAAAAATATATTATGGCAAAGGTGTTTGTAACGTAAGACAAATGTTTGCTTTTGAGATGTGTTTGTGATATTTTGAATGCAGTACTTCATTTAGCAAGAGATGTGAGGCATTTTACATTTTGTGTGTGCAATTCTTGGATTTGTGTGTAAAGTTTTGAAAAAAAGAGGCAAATTTTTGAAAATGTAAGCAGTTGAAAAAAAACTGTAAATACCTTGTAAAAAAAATGGTGTATATTAATTTGTGCTGAGATGAAACAGCTATACACAAAACACAACATAATGGACATGATTATTCTTGCATAATAAACAAGGATGCCTATTTTTTTTTTTGCTTCATATAACCAACCTAACTGTAGTTAATGTCCAGCTTAGCGTTTCTTTTTAGGCCCATATGTATATAGTAGCTAATTTGTATTTTGATGGACAGAAGTCAGGTATGCGACTGGAGGCTCCTGAGAAGCACGATTGTTAAGTTCTGTTATGGAGAATCCAACGTTTTATTTTATTTAAATATGTTATTTATATATTACAGCTATACACAAAACACAACATAATGGACATGATTATTCTTGCATAATAAACAAGGATGCCTATTTTTTTTTTTGCTTCATATAACCAACCTAACTGTAGTTAATGTCCAGCTTAGCGTTTCTTTTTAGGCCCATATGTATATAGTAGCTAATTTGTATTTTGATGGACAGAAGTCAGGTATGCGACTGGAGGCTCCTGAGAAGCACGATTGTTAAGTTCTGTTATGGAGAATCCAAAGTTTTATTTTATTTAAATGTTATTTATATATTTATATAGTCATCTAAACTAAAATAATATATATTTAAATATTTAAATGTTGTTGTTGTATTTTTAAATATAATTTTTTAAATATATTTTCAATAATATACAAAAAATGGTCAAAAATATATTGGTAGAAAATATATTTACACAAATATATTTTGAAACATATTTTAGCAAATGTACTTTTTTATGGGAAGCTTCAGTAAGATAATTGACTCATCGGAAGTTATCTTAAATGATGACTGAAAGAAAAGTAGAAAGATGAACAACGAATCAATTTAAATCTCATGTTTATTTCATTGCACAAATACTAAGTTAAACAGTCAAAAGATTTAGTGATCATATTAAATATTAAACAATGAAAAAAGTTCTTACACTGAAAGGCTGAATAAGCATACTCACAAACCCACATGATAAAACAAAAACTGCACTAAGAACGCTAAGATAATATAAATATATTTTAGATTATATATTTATTATTATATTATATATATATAGACATTTCTTGTTGGATGACGGACCATCACCTTCAACTCATGTGTGTATATAATATATATATATATACACCTTGCTACGTGTACTGCGTTAGGCTAACCGAGACTTGTCATTTGCACTAATATATTGTTGCTCTTTTGTTAGTTTTGACTGCTTTTATTGTCCTCATTTGTAAGTCGCTTTGGATAAAAGCGCCTGCTAAATGACTAAATGTAAATATACATATATATATATATATATATAAAAGGGGAAAAAAAGAAAATTAGTTTGAAAGCATGCTCAGAATGACAGTGTGATTCTGGTCAGAACACAACTCGTTGCACAATGAGCAAAATGAATAGCTTATTCGTGAATATATTTGTTCATTTCCAACCTAATCCACTAAATTTGGTACATTTATTTCAATGACACAGAAACATCTATTCTGTTGATTATTATCCTCGCTCCTTTTTTCAGTCGAGTTGGATGTGCTGCCTGTCAAGTGCTAGTTTGTATAGCTCTAAATGTAAGCCTCTGTTTTTATACGTGCCAAATGATTTAAAAATGACTAACGCTGATAATTGAAGAGAATATTAAATATTTGCAAACATAAATTGGATGTTTTTACACAAATATTGGTGTCACTCTGGCATCTACAGATGAAAAAGAAAGTGTGGTAAGCTAAGGAAACGAAACATTTTATGGCACATCTCTTTTCCAATGCACCGCATTATTGGAAGCCTCAAAAAGAAGAGGAAAAAATGGCAGATGTTTCTTTTTGGTCAGTACCAAGCAGATAGTCAGCTGCACTTGAACCATGATTGGTTGCTGAGAGTTTGGCTCCATTAACAAGATGTTTACTGGAACAACCTGAATTATGATCATATCTTAAATCTTTACTGCATCTACATTTTGCTCCTCTTCATACCTCGCCTTCCTTTCTGCTTCCCAATCGTTCAATAATTTGAGTAGAAAGTTGTAAAGAGAAAAAGAACAAAGAGCCACAAAAAAAAAAAGAACAAAGAGACACTTTTATTAATTTACCGAATCATACAAACACTTTGCTACCTGTAAATACAATATATTTTAATTGTTTTATATGGATGTTAGTCACTATAGCCTAAACCCAGTGTAAAGAGCAGCAAGTACAAGTGAAGATTCAGCTGTCAGGAAAACCCCAAAGAAACTCTCAAATCTCACTGTCTTGCTATTTGTTTCATTATAAGGCATTTCTTCATACAGATTATGTTGTGTTAAGTAACCTAGACCTTGTCTACCAAACCAAGATGGCCAGAGGACTATAAAAATCCAAATGGCAATTGCCATTTAAACCAGCATTCATACTATCACACATAGAGACATGACCACCTACTGTTATTTTCTATGCCTCTTTTAGTGGATATACTAAAATAACTCTCGAGTTCATCCATCCATTAGCAGATGCAGGCCCATTTCTTCTTGCTCTCTTGTGCTGTTATGACTCTTGCTGGGATATTGAAGCTCTCAGATCTGCAGTGTAATACACATTCGTTCACACTCTCCCTTCTCTGGCTCTTCAACCTCTGTGCCAATGTCACAAAGATGCTGTCCACCTGTTCCCCTTTGGGACCTTTGGCTGAAGTAAGATAAAAAGACATTCCGTGGACTTCAGCCAAGTGACGAGCCTGGACGATTATCACAGAAGCAGTCGTCGAAGTGACCAGATCGGCCTTGTTGCAAACGAGGGCGCGGGGGATATCCAGACCAAGAGAGTGCTGACGGCACTCGTCCATCCACAAGGTTCAACCTCTGTGCCAATGTCACAAAGATGCTGTCCACCTGTTCCCCTTTGGGACCTTTGGCTGAAGTAAGATAAAAAGACATTCCGTGGACTTCAGCCAAGTGACGAGCCTGGACGATTATCACAGAAGCAGTTGTCGAAGTGACCAGATCGGCCTTGTTGCAAACGAGGGCGCGGGGGATATCCAGACCAAGAGAGTGCTGACGGCACTCGTCCATCCACAAGTGAAGATTGCAGAAACTAGTGGGGTTAGTGACATCAAATACAAAGACAATTCCGTGCACATTGCGATAGTAGTGCTGCACCATGCTTTTACGAAAACGCTCCTGACCTGCCGTGTCCCAGAGCTGTATCTGAGGTGAGACAGAAAAGGAAGAGATTCATATTTTTGTATACTGGGAATTTAACTTATGACCTTGCCATTGCTAGTGACATGCTGTACCATTTGAGCTATAGAATCATTGAAAACTGAAATTAAATCTCCATAGGGTTAATCTGACCTAAGGGCAGTGCTGGGTAGGTTACTTACAAATTATAGTCCGTTACGGATTCCAAATTATCTGACAAAAATTGTAGTTAGTAACGTAATCCATTACATTACACATTTTAGGTAATATAATCGGACTCCTTTTTGATCACTTGCGACCTAACTTGTTAATCACATTGATTTAAATAGGATAAAACTGTATCATATTGAAATAAAAATGCAAAGAGAATGAAAATATTCATTGTTAAATTAAGAAAATGAAGCATTAAACATTACATCAAGGTTTCATAAAATGAGGTTCACTCAGGAACTGCAGGAGTTTGTGAGTTTAACTGAAAAGCTAATAGTTAGATCATGAAAAATGTAAAATTAAAATAAATCTCTTTAAAATAAAAATAAAATATTTTGTTTGTTTACCTGCATGTCATGTTGCCATTAACCAACGTCAGAGAACCGTGAACATGCAAACGTGTTATTCATGTATGACCTTAAAAAAAATTGGGAATCCCTACATTACATGCAAATAAGAAATGTAAATTTTTGCATTTTAATGTGTTTGAAAGACAAAAGCCTTCCAAGGACAAAGACTTTTGTGAATAATATGTAATCATGTAATCAATAAAAAAGTAAGTGTACTCTGATTACGAGTATTTTAAAATGTAATATAATCTAATTACAAGTACTTATTAAAACCTACTTTAAAAAAAAAAATCTAATTATGTAATCCAGCTTACACTGGGCTATAATAATGAAAATTTGTATTTTTTTTATATACACAAATACTGCAAAGAAAAGCAAATCTGATTAATTCATATCACAAGAGGAACATGCGAACAAATATGACAGTAAGATGTTCACAGAAGACAGAACCATAAACAACACAGTGCTGCATTGACTTTGCAGAAGTAGAAAATGCCAATGTACTGCTGAAGTCTAGACAACATCTTAAAATTAACATGACATACTTAAATCACAAACTTAATTTGTTCTTAGACACAGGCAAATGTACTCAAACGTAATGTAATGTGGTTATCTTTAAGGCAGTTGTTGTTTAATGTTTGTGCCTAGGACTATTTATCTTAAAAGTGAAGTCCAATTCCTCATTTTGAAGCTCAGAAAAGATCACAACAAAACGGTGAAATCCCACGTTTTGCTCTTGTTCCTCTATGGGATTCACACGCAATAAATCTATCTACCACTTAAAAATTAAAGTAAACATTTACGTCAGTTATTGAATTGACATCAGAGCCGGTAAATCCAAATTCTTCAGTTTACGAGTCAACAATTCACGGAGTAACTAGAGCAATGTCTCTTTCGAACAAGTCCAATTCATTCATTTAAACGACGAGTAACCCGATATTAAGAGGATTTGTGTAACGTTACTTAGGATTCAGTTTATGGGGTGAAAAGTTAATTGAACCGTTACAAATAAACCGTTCTGATAATGATTGACTTGATTAAAAACAGAAAAATTACACTGAACACCTCTCCAGCCAAGTGATGTTGAGATTTTACTGCACGACGTAAAAAACGCTGAATCGTCTTTTTGTTCGAAAGAACCGATTCGTGATGAATAAAATCGCGTTTTTGGAACGATTTTATTGCACCGCCTAAATTAGCTGTATGCATCCTAGCAACATTTTGTAATTAGCTCAAAATATAAACGTGTTTCATAATAAACCAAAATGCCGTTAAACTCAGAAGTCTTACTT